TTTATTTATTATGCACACGCAGATCATAGTCCTGTGCAAAGGGATTTTCCCGCGGACTCTGCGGATTTACAATCAGACGTTCTAGATCTGGAAGGTATTTTATAGTGAAAATGAAAATGTATTTTTTCCTAATTTTAATCATTAAAATTATTATCATCATTATCTTAAAAGAAGCACTATATGACAATGTTGGAACAACTGCAACCACAGCTGACCTTCAACCACCATAATACGTATTATTATATATTACAATATAATACGTAAAAAATAAAAAGCCCCGCTAATACATATATATATATAAAGAAATAAAAATTACTGGTATGTGCTGACATCTGCAAAAGAAAAAATATTGTGATTAATAAATTTTATATATGCAAAGATGATCACAAACTTACAATTGGCCTACGGAAGTATCCCATTCTGCTGAAACGACGAGTGGAGGTGATGCTTGCTGTTGAATCTAAAATAAAATAAAAAGAAATGAATAAATTATACATAATAATAAGTAACGATAAATGCAAACTTACCTTTAGCATGTAGCAAAGCTTCATCTATATGAGGCGGCGACCGGATAGCTGGATTTGACTTTGCGAGCGGACGAGAACGACTTCAAAATGATGATACATTTGCAACTGGTTCTTGGATCCAGTTTTTGTCAATCAGCAGCAAATGTATGATGAAGCCTAGGAGGTTAGTCCGGTGACTATTTCCATTGGGGCAGCAGCCTTTTTTCTTGAAGAAGTCAAGCTGCTTCACAATTGTCGCTTGGGTGCGCTTGCCGATGTTGCGTTCAACCGTGTGGAACTTCATAATTCCCAAATAGATGCCCAAGGCTTCCAAGAAAACATTGAGTACATCAAGCCTCGGAAATTCGGCTTCCAGATGCTTGTTAGCCAGGATTTCGTCGTGTTCCTGTATTTTGGCGACTAGCATGCCATCAACTTCGGAGCATGCTTCTTCTCTCGTTACCGTTAGGTCGCTTAGGCATGCTTGGCAGTTTAGCTGCTCACGGATGTATTGGGCTATTCCATAGCCTGTGAGCAGCCTGAAGTATTCCGCCTCGTTAACGGTTAGACGTTTGGCAGCTACTTTGAACGGCACCTCATTCAGGTCGTATGGCAGGAACTCTTCTTCGGCCTGGGCTGGTGTCGTGTAATCCAGCTTTTCAATGAGCTCGTAATCGTCATCAATGGTGGATCCGTCTCCCCAAAATTCTAGTTGTTGTTTCATTAGGCGGGTGCCCAGCTTCATTATATTTTCCACGGGTCTTGTTCTAATTCTGCTGTTTGGCGCCATCTTACAGAAAAATCTCTCCAAAAGGTCTTGGCTTACCCTGTAGGCGTGTATGGTTATGCCAGGGTAAGCTTCCAGCAGGCCATCCATTACTTCCATGAAGTTGTCGATGGTTTGCAAGGTGGGCTTAGTATCTTGTCTGTTTCGAAGTTAGCCCTTACACAGGTTTTCACTTTCGTCAGCACCGCCTTCTGCCCTTCCCATTGCATATCTCGCCTGTGTGTATGACTTCGCAGAATTCAGTCAGAGAAGCGATAACTTTGCAAATGCGTAAGTCTTGTTCTTTATGGATAATTTTTCTCCGCACAGCGACGTTTAAGTTTGCCACTGTTGCGGGAGTTAATAGCTGCATACACTTGATCGTTGAATTTCCAGAAGTGTTGATTAAGCATGCACCTCTTCTCTTCAAGTGATTTGAAGTGCTGAGTTTTCTCGCATGCGCCCTAGTGATGACGGAAGTGTCGAACAGTTTGTTGTTTGACATCAGCCAGTAAATGCTGCATATTAGATGTACGTAGTCGCTCAGATAGTATATTGTATAAATGGTGCCGTCCGCTCGCTTTCTTTTATAAGTTCCGTTTCGAAACTTTCCCAATGTGTGCAGGTTTGCACTGCTCCTGTCGCAGACTACTGCTTTCACTTCCAGGCCGGCCTCTTCTACGATACCTAAGCATCTGTCTAGTTCGTGTGGAACTCCGTTGTAGGCAGTTATGGCGGTGGCGCTGATCAATATGTTGAAGCTTGTCAGCAGGCTACGTACAGCGAAGAAGAGTACTGTGTGGTATTCTTCCGTTGTTGTAATTTTTCCGCTGTTGTTGTAGCCGCAACCGTACAATACATCCTCGGTCCGAGAATATCTCATCTTGCCGCTGGTGTACACTTCGTCGAAGTGTAGCTGAACAACTTTGTCGTGAGGACTTAACCTCCCTACGACCTCCCGCAGCGCCTCGATATCCACTGTGAATTTCAGTTCAGCTCGTTGAACAATTTCACTATTCTCTGTCTGCGCCCCCACGTTCGCTGCGTCATCAGTTTCTTGCATTTTGTGGCCACTTCCATTTTGGTCTGCAGCGGGAGCAAGGCGTCTCGTCTTTTTACTCCGCGCTGCTTCCGCCGATGTGCTTGGTCCCTCGTCGTATATCCGTGAACGGTTTCTGATATTATATCTACGCCTATCGGGGCTTCTTACGGCTAATGTTGATCTCTGAATGTCCGTCCGTTCTCTCGCCTGTATATTCATCTGTTCGTCCGTCTGTACGTCCATTTGTACGTCAGTCTGTACGTTTGTACGTTTTTTTTTTTGTTCTGTCTGAATTTCATCAAAACCCAAGAATATAGAGTGACTGCACTCAGAAATGTTGTCAATCATGTCGATTGGCTCAGATATTTCTGGTTCAATCATGACGATTGGCTCAGATATTTCTGGTTCAATCATGTCGATTGGCTCAGATATTTCGCTTGGTTCTACCTTGTATTCTAGTATGTCGTTCGAAATTCTATTAGCAGCATGCTGCAAACCTAACTCGATCGCGTACCACAAGTACGCGATCAGTTTCGTGCATCGCCTTCCCTTAGGATTTTTGTTAAGGCGCATGAGACTTTCCCTAATTCTCTTATATTTTAAACAGACATTTTCTACCGTTATTGTCGTGTTTGTTGTGACAGTTAACTCGTCAGCTAATATCTTCCCGTTTTTTTTCCAATTTATACGTTCGTTGTTCAGACCCCAGAACTGCGGATACTTTTTTAAAGACCTGTTGAATCATTGAGAACGAATATGCGTTTATTCTCAAAGCGGCACAATACATGCAAA